GGCACTGGTACTTAAACTTTGGGATCCGAGTCATCCACTTGTAGTTGACATAGACCTGAAAGAACATTGGAAAGGTCGTTGGCGTGTATCAGAATAAGTATCATCCCTAAACGGAACCTTGGGAATTTCCAATAAAGACCGGAGCCGGGGAGGACTATTTGGACCTTACCTCCACTCGGAATTTTCTGTCTGAGAGGAACACCCGAATCAAGCATGGAGTTCTCCTTTGAATCGAGCAGGACTCGAGGTAGTGGGACTTGTAGGAATAGTTCGATTGCTTTGAGGAAGCTGAACAATATGACGATGAAGTATTAAGTTGGTAATAGTAACGCAGCATCAGAATGCGCTTATTCGCCATCATATGGAGAAGATAACTGGCCTGGAGCTTCTGGATTATAGTCATCCACCCGTTCTGTAGAATTCTTATAAACGGAGAAAATGTTGCTCACGTAAAGGTACTGACGGATTACTTGGTAGAAATGCCTGACTAGTGTGAATGACGTCCACTTTAAGTTCTTTGGATGTACGCTGTCTGACCAACGCGCAAGGGAGATTTGCTTTCTGCAAGAGTTGACGAATATACCCTCCTTGAAAACCGAGTTGGTTGGATTCCGTTCATAAATAGGCCTTGACACGTCCGAGTGCGACGAGGTTGCTGAGCGCAATAAAGGCCTGTTCTATGTGGAATTCAGATATCAACACCAGGCCACTCATGGGTTCTCCCTCATTTAAGCTGTGAGTGGGTTGCTTATTTCTGTGATAAGGTCTCAAGTATTTAGCAGCGCAGTTTTTCTCAAAGTAAAATCTAATGTGATGGTCTGTTTTCATTTGATAGAATAATGAATTACAGCGTTTCCATATTTAACGAAACACATTTGCCGTGTCTCCTGTAGTAAACACTTTGAAAAATAATTGGAGCATGCTTTCCAGAAGCTGCGGAACATGGTTGTTTGCAGTCATATTTCATCCCTGTTACACCATGTAAAAACGCTGCAAATGTTCAGGTCGCTGTGTTTTTGGAAATGCACTTCAACAATATAGTATAACTTAATATAAGGTACTAGTCAAAAATGATATCTAGTAGTG